GAGGAGACTGTGGTAAATATTAATTAAAAATTAAAAGGAATACTCACCCCTAATTACCACAAATAATTTTATTTGAGCGGACACGTGTTTCGCCCATTTCATACGTGGGCATACGTCAGTCTCGCGTTCATAATGGCCACGTATGAAGTGGGCGAAACACGTGTCCGCTCAAATAAAGCTTTTTGTAGTTGTTAAACAACAGTTTTTTGCTTTATTGAGGGGTCGGTAAGAACTCGTGGCGGCAGGGTGTCGATATTGTCACCTTCTAAGAAAAGGCAACATCTGGGAGTAGTTTAAAATCAAAAAAAGGTTGACAAGCGTAACAAAATAAGTTTTTAAAGACAGTTCCTGTTGAGAGGTCACATCAAACACATTGTATAAGTTAGCCATTAGTTTTCAGTAGTTAAGAGAGTTAAATTGTAGTTGTTAAAGTGTGAATAATAAATTCATTTAAAGCAGTTCACAGTTTTAGTCAATCATTTTTAAGATATATTTCAATCAAACATACGAGACAAAGCCAGCAGTGCTTAAGTGAAAAGAACCACTATTTAGCATATTTTTTTTGCTAAACATACAACAGTGGTAATTAGGGGTGAATTTTTCCTTTTAATTTTCAATTAATTGCTATACGATGAGACGACATATTTTATAAGGATTTATTTATGCGATACTTCTTTTGTAACTTACGGGGTCAAAATCGTTTTCAATAGCTACAGACATGGGAAACAACTGATGGTGCAGCCTTGGTGCACTTACTGCTTCTTGTATTTCTTCAGCGAACCATAAGTTTCTCATGGCCACCTGGAATGTTAATAAAAATTCCGATTATATCAACATTTCACCTCCGGGATGGTCATGTATCAATATACGTACCAGTGCTACAGCAGTTGTAATCTTCGATCCTCCCGCCGCCCCCACTATCAGTTTAACATCGCCCTTTTCATTCACAATAATACTGGGCGCCATCGATGATGCGGGGCGTTTTTGGGGCTCGATGAAATTATTGGGCATGGGGGGAAGGTTGAAAGAATTCGTTATATTCGGCGACGAAAAGTCATCCATTTCATCATTCAGAATAATTCCTGTACTTCTAGATCTGATTTTAGCACCAAAGCTGAAAGAAAAAGTTCCAAAAGGTCTAAATTTTTGATGACGATCATTTCGTAGCTGAAGATAAGACTTTTGGGACTCTGACCAAAAGAAAACTGGGTAACCCAGTCCTGAGAATATTTTATTTGTGAAGAAATAACTTTTGGATATCATTTTAACAGTAAGGCCTTCACGGTCGATATTTTCAATTAAAAGTTTCTCCAGGTCAGGTTATGATGGTTTCTATTTGGCCAAAGTTTCAAACGTGTCATCGTCATCAGCTACGAAAAATGCTTTCTATGGTGAGGAGATCAAAATCCTTTTGGCTAAAATCGTCTCCATTGAAGTTTTTTGCAGTTGAAATCGTAACGTTTGGGACTTCAAAAAGGAGAAGGGTAACCCAATTTTGGAGAATGTTATGTGGTTAGAAAATACTACAAATGGCGCAGTAAACGCCATCTGTAGCACGATGCTACATTTTAGGATTACGTATGCTCCAGCAAGGTCCACTTGTGTGGATATCTACTTGCTGAAAACGAATCCCGGCGTAGCCAACCTCAACGTGATAGGCACGTTAGCTTCTGGCAGTTTCGACAGAATACAGACCACTTCGAATTATTTTAATGTTATGTTGTGTTTGGCAAAATGTAAAACCCCATAGGAATGAACATTGGACTTTTAGCGTTGTAGAATTTCTCGATATGGAATAATTTTTGACTTACTATAAATTGATGGTACTGGTAACTGATACGGCATCTCCGTTCTCGGCCAAAACAGAAAGATGAGCAGTACCATGGTCTTCAAAGAAACTCGCATTGACTCCATAATGAACCGGATTTTGAAACGTTTTATCGTCAGTGATTAGACTGCGTATTGAATTGGCATAGTCCGTTGACATTAAATTGTCCATCAACTGTAAGAATCATTTTTATTTTTTATTTTTTTTTATTTCAAGGTGTACCTAATTATCCTTTACTAAGATCCAGAAACATTTAATGCATTCGTTAAAATTGATATTGAGGTATTTGTGAGATATTGATGAGGATAACGTGGGTAGAAAAGGTTAGAAATGAATATGTATTGGAAATAATAGGAGAACAGAGGACTCTATGGAAGTCAATAAGAAATAGACGAGATAGGTTGGTAGGACACCTTCTTAGTCATAAAGGTCTAGTCAGATATATATTAGAGGCAGAAACAGGAGTTAGGAGGGGTAGAGGTAGACCTAGATTAGATTACTGTTCACAAATAGTTAAGGATGTGGGCTGTTCTAGTTATAGGGAAATGCGAAGATTAGCTCAGGATAGGAAAGAGTGGAGGTACGTGTCCAACCAGTCTTAGGACTGGCAACCTTATGATGAGGATGCCGTGGGTAGAGAAGGTTAGAAACTAGGAGGTTTTAGAAAGCATAGGAGAACAGTGGACTCTATGGAAGTTAATAAGAAATAGGCGAGATAGGCTGGTAGGACACCTTCTCAAGCATGAAGATCTAGTCAGAGACATACTAGAGGCAGAAACAGGAGTTAGGAGGGGTAGAGGTAGACCTAGATTAGATTACTGTTCGCAAATAGTTAAGGATGTGGGCTGTTCTAGTTTTAGGGAAATGCGAAGATTAGCTCAGGATAGGAAAGAGTGGAGGTACGTGTCCAACCAGTCTTAGGACTGATGACCTTATAATGATGATGATGATGATTTATTACCGTGTCCATTCCATCGACGAAGCGTGGATCTCCCACGTCTGTTCTCCTTGCATATCCATATTTAAAGGCTTCGACAATTCTCTGCCAGTTCTTTACAGAGTTAATATTATTATGGTCTAAATAACCTTGTAGAATATTGAGGATGAAGGTCAATATACCACCGGCACTTGGCAGTCGTGACGTATACAGCGAATAGCCATTTAAATTAGTATGGGCAGGATCTTCCCAAAGGGGACTAAAAAACAGTAATAATAAAAATAGCATTCCTGATATGAAGCAAAAAATACTAATAAATAATGTCGCATATATGATGAAGATTTATTAGATGCCATTTTCTACATTTCTAGATATTCTTAGAGATGACGTGCAAAAAAGATAGTTAAAAGCATACTAGATGCAGAAACAGGAGTTAAGAGGGACAGAGAAAGACCTAGACTGGTGCGGTCCTGGTTCGGGTTTAAAGGCTGTCGTTCTTCAAAGGTCCTTCCATTTCCGATGCTGAAAGAACATCTCAGGAAGCTGGTCACTCGTGCTAGCGAAACATTAGGAAGCAACACCAATTAACGACGGCCTTTAAACCAGAATCAGGACACCAGTTCACCAAATGACCTCGAATTTGTCTAGATTATATTACTGTTAACTAGAATTATACAGATGAGAATGGAAGAAAGGGCGGAAGAACTATTAGGGGAAGAAAATGCACCAAGTAAAACTTTTGATTTAGGACTCAGGATAGGAAAGAGTGGAACCAGTCTTAGGACTGACGACCCTATCATGATGATTTTACTGTTTGCACATAGGATTATTCTAGTTTTAGGAAATTGGGAAAATGTGCTCATGATGATGATGAAATCAGTGAGATATTACATTACTACAGTCGAACTTCGATAAGTCGATAACTCGAATTTTTAATAAGTCGAACCAAATTGGTTGGCAATAGCGTCAAAACTAGGAAATGCGTGTAAATTTGTCTTGATAAATCGAACTTCGATTACTCGAATAACTTGATAACTCGAACGAAATGTTTTGCTCCAACTTCGATAAGTCGAATTTTCTGGGGGAATCCCGTAATTACGGTCGATTTTAACCTATCTTTTTTAACGTATTCATGCAGGCAGTTCAGTTTCTGCGCTTGCTAAGTTCACTTGTTTGACTTATAAGTCATTTCATTTCATTTATATATTACATTGTCTGTTGGTCAAAAATTTGAAAATTCGTTGAGTGTCTTGCGTTCCTATTTAAAAGCCAGTGAATATACGACCGATGCCCTGTATAATAGTTTAAATGAAATTGAAGCTTTCTTCAAAAACCAAACTAAGAAATCCGTTCGTCAGTCACAAATAACTGACTTTTTACAGTGAAATAGTAAATACATACACATATGTATATATGTATTTGTAATGCATACATATGTACATACTTACTATGTATGTAAAAATATGTTGATAGTACTGTTTCATAATTTTTGTTATTCCTTTGAAAAGCATAGATATTAAGGCACTTATGTAACATTTCACCAATTTTTACTGAAATAAACACATACATGTTCATTCACAAAGAAATACTAATTAAAGAAGTATTATTTGATAACTCGAAGTTTTTATGTGTCACATCGCAGTTCGAGTTACCGAAGTTCGACTGTATTTAACTAAATTAAACCTTATGTATGTGAGATATTTCGGTAAGTTCCTCGTGGGCCAAAACTTTTTGCTTTCTTACGTGTATATTTTTAGATCTTCTTCCACTATAATCCCACCCAAATCCTTTATGTCCTGGATGAAGCCGCTTGTAAGAGAACCGTCGTAAAGGGCATCTGCTCCTTCTTCGGCAATGACTTCCAACGTTTCCGCCAGTTTTAATCTTTTGACGTAGTCACCTTCCTTGTACACGTCATTGGTTTCAGGATTGAAAAAAATCTCCCTAAACGATCCATGAAAAAAACAGAAATACAATTGAAATGCATGCAAAGTGTAAGAGAAACAAGCACCGAGCTTTGGAGGGCCTAAACTAACAAGAACACAATAATTTACATTCCGAAGCCGGCCCTGTGCGTGAAATGACCACATAATTTTCTATCGAATAGCGTAGTGCAACTAAAAGGATGAAGAATGTAAAAATTGCAGATTTTCAAACGTCTAAGATAAATGTAAACAATTTAGCACTACAAACAAATACTACACTGACGCTGGTAAGCATCAGTTGATTGAGTGCAGTGTTGCGGGTCGTATTTCTTTACCAGGACCTGAATTGAATTTGCTTGTATTTCAACTACGTTTTTCTGGAAAATAATTTACTTGGTCCTTCGTAAAAGTTAAGAAAGATCTTACAAAGGCACAACAGCATAAACGATACACCAGTAAAACCTAAAAGAGGTTGTTAGTTAGATTAGGTTGGGTTTCGTACCTTAACGTATCGCTTTGACGAATCATATTCTTTTGGTTGTTGAATAAATTTGCTAGGTAAGGGGTGACAAGGTGTCCACGCCTGCACAATTCAATGGAGGGTTGAATTAAGGTGGCCCATGGTAGTTTTCCGAATTTCTGATGGGCGTACCAATAACCCTTTAGTTCTCCAGGTACTGCAACCGCTAATCCTCCTTTAAGGATAATCGAAAATTCAAGATATACATAATGAAAGTAAACGTTTCATTTTTTACCCCCAGCAGACAATGAAGCGTTCCCAGCGAACATGTTCCTTGACGCTGCCAAGGGGGCACTTTCTCTAGCATTTAAATAATACGCAGTCTTTTCTTCTCGAATATAAATAGTCATAAAAAAACCACCACCCAAACCCATGCTCTGGGGCATAGCAATTCCTTCACAAAAGAGGGCTGCAATAGCTGAATCAACCGCTGAACCACCTTGTTCCAGTATTGATCTAAAATCCAAAAACTTAGACACACGTGTCTTTTGTTAAATAAAAGACAAACAATTTTTACAAGAAATGCATAACTGGGATACGGGACCGCTTGCTATGCCCTCTGAATCTTCTTTAGTTGGACCACTAATTTGAAAATTGGTTAAGAAGGACCCGAAATAATGAATCAAAAATCTATTCACATCTATCCTCTTAATAAATTATAGAGTTGTTCGGAAAGTCATTTCGTTTTTTCCCGACAGAGGATTAAATTGTATTCTTTTGCACCCAACTTCACATTTAAGCCGTATAATTTTTATATGCTTTGAGAGCTCATATAGCAAGGCTTGTGTGTGAAAAATTCCAATTAATTCTACGCAGTAGTTTTTGGTTGGTGCCCTTTTAAATATGGAGAGCGATAAGCAGCATTTTCGACATATCTTACTGTTTTACTACAGAAAGGGTAAAAATGCTGTTCAAGCCAGAAAGAAATTGACTGATGTGTATGGAGAAGGTGTGTTGACAGTACGCCAGTGCCAGAACTGGTTCGCTAAATTTCGATCCGGCAATTTTGATGTCGAAGATGCACCACGTTCGGGAAGGCCGGTTGAAGCTGATAAAGACGCGATAAAGGCATTAGTTGATGTGAACCGGCGAATAACAACACGTGAGATCGGATTGAGGTTAAATTTATCAAATTCAACAGTTTATGACCACTTGAAAGGCCTGGGATTATCCTCGAAGCTCGATGTATGGGTTCCCCATGTTCTCACAGAGAGAAATCTGTGTCGCCGCATTGACGTCTGCGATTCGCTTCTCAAACGTCACGAAAATGATCCGTTTTTGAAGCGCATCATCACTGGGGACGAAAAATGGGTTGTATACAACAACGTCAAACGCAAGAGGTCATGGAGCAAAAAAGATGAACCGGCTCAAACCATTTCCAAAGCCGATATTCACCAAAAAAAGGTGATGCTGTCTGTTTGGTGGGATTTTAAAGGAATCGTTTTTTTTTAGCTTTTACCGGATAACACAACGATTAATTCGGAAGTCTACTGTCATCAGCTGGACAAACTGAATGATGCACTTCAACAGAAAAGGTCAGAACTAATCAACAGGAAAGGTGTAGTGTTTCACCAAGACAACGCGAGACCTCACACAAGTTTGGTCACTCGCCAAAAGCTTTTACAGCTTGAATGGGATACAATGCTACACCCACCATATTCTCCAGACCTGGCACCATCGGATTATTATTTGTTCCGGTCACTCCAAAATTTTTTAGACGGTAAAACCTTCACCTCAAATGAGGAGGTCAAAAACCTCCTCGATCAGTTTTTTGCCAGCAAAGACCAAAAATTTTATGAGCGTGGAATTATGCTACTACCAGAAAGATGGCAAAAGGTGTTGGACCAGAACGGTCAATATATAATTTAATAAAGTATTTGCTTATTATACGAAAACTGTCTTTCATTTCCACAAAAAAAAGAACGACATGACTTTCCGAACAACCCTATAATTAATGGTGTTATAAAACAGTCTTAGACTTGCAATGTTGGCTTGTCTTGTAAATTTAGTAAGATCAGCTGGAGTGAAGAGAGAAAGAAGGGGAAAATAAAAAACAAAACAGTATGGAAATAGAAATACAAAAAGTGAGGAATTATGCATATCTGGGATATATGCTGAGCGATAATAGTAGGGATGAGATACATACTTAGGGAAGGACAATTGAGGTAAGAGACTGATGCTATTTATTGTGATGCTGAGGAGTATAATGAGATGTCCGCTAGATTATGTAATAAGAAGAGAGATTAAATGTGGGAAGAAGTGGCAAGAAGCTGCAAAAAGAATAGTAAAACATGAGGGGAGTTTGGGGAGGCTGGAAGAAGTTGATATCAGGAAGGAAGAGTGGAGAAAGAAGGTATTGGAAATAGGAAGGAAAGGTAGATATGATAGAGAAAGTGGGAGGACTTTGAAGAGATTAAGAATCAATTAGGAGCAGTTGAGGGACTGATTAAGGGAAGGGATCGATATAAGGGAATTGATGAGGAACAGATGCAGGGAAATGATATGGGGAGAGGAGTCAAGATAGGGTTGAGGGAGATTTTATAAATATTGGGGAATGGAAAAGAACAGAGAGTGTAGAATATGTCACAGGGAGGTACACTGTCTGAAACATGTGCTAGGAGAATATCAGGATAATGCTATGAATTAGTGAATGAGCTGACTGAAGAAAATTTCAAGGAAACGTGGGTAGTTTTTGTTTTTAGGACAGTGGTAAAGGAAGACAGTGAGCAAGGGTAAAATAAATAACTTAATATAGGAAAGATAAGTGTAAGAAATGTAGAAAATAACTTTGTTAAAATAATAATAATAATTTCACTTTCAATTCTTATTTATATCAAAGCGTACAATGACGGTAACCCAAGGTGTTTATTAAATAAGTAGCAAGCTCTGGGGGGCGTTAAGTAAATGCAGTAGGGAGTCGCATGGTCAGACGAAGTTGCGATTCGAAGCCGGTCCTGGGCGTGAATTGACAACGCATAGAAATTGGCGAGAACGGTTGTAGAATCACTACATCGTATAAAACAAAGTCGCTTTCCCGCTGTCTGTCCTTATGTATGCTTAAATCTTTAAAACTACGCAACGGATTTTGATGCGGTTTTTTTTAAAAAGATAGAATGATTCAAGAGGAAGGTTTATATGTATAACACATGCATAATATAGTAGGGAAACACTGATAATTTTAGAGGTTTCTAATGTGATGTCGTAAATAAACACATTTTTTGCGCTTACATTGCAAACGCTGGCTGAACCCTACGAGATAGATCAAAATAATGTACAACAATATTGTACATCTTAAAAGGGTCTACAAAAAAGTCCGCGATGGTATATGTCTGTCTCTTAGGGATAACCCACAATAACCATTTTTATCCTTTACTTTTTATGAAGCGATTGTAGGCAATACAGCATTAATTCTTATCCAATTAAGTACCTTAAATGCATTGTGCATTTAATATAGATCAATATGGTCCTTTACAGTATGTAATTTAAATGAATATTTTCAAAGATATTACAGATTTAAAATGCAGGGACATAGTAGTTTAGGCGGTACCGGCCGGCAGGCCGGTTTGTATTTTCTAATGACAAAAACACTGTGAATGTTGTATATGAAGATTTCCCCTTTTTGATAATAATCTAGACAAATCAAAAATATATTTAGTATCAGCCTTGCACCCCTGCGAAGCTGGGGCGGGTCACTGGTGACTAATAAAGTAAGTATCAACAGCCTACAACGTTAATAGAGCAAAGAACTACTGTAAACGTAAACATCGTCAATCACATTTAATTTAATCTAATAAATAACAAACAAAACAAGAGTACAAAAATATGAGAGAAATGCAACACGGTTGCCGCTAAGTAGAAGTTGATTGAATGTGGCGTTGCAATGTTGTGTTTCCCTACGTGATCTTAACAGGGCCGGACTGTACTTTTAGATATGATTTTCTCGAAAACGGTGAACTTTCGGAACACCAAATATTTACATAATTTTCTTGTTTTATAAGGTCCTAACACCTCCTGCACACTCGCTACTTATTTCAGAATTCAATGATTTTTGAGAAACACACCAATATCCCTCATGTATAAAGACACTTACGCCCCTATTTGGGAACATTCGTAGCCATTTGTCACAACGGCAGCCACGTAGTGAGACGGCTTTACACTCGAATACAAAGAAACGTATGTTACCAGTACCACCAGACCAGTCAGGCCCACACCTCCTAGCCCTACGTACTTCGCTTTCCTGAAACCAATAAATAATTTTAAGGAAATTCTTATTGTACACCAAAACGATTATTTTTTTGTATAAATCATAATGATATGATTGACATTTTTCGTCAAATAATTGTCAAAAGTCCGATACACATCAAAACACAATTTGTGTATATCTATTACCTATATACCTATCAAAAAATCGGTTGTCTGTAAAGTCGGTTTACTGACGATAGTTGAACGTGACAACGTCATAAGAAAATACTGATGGAATGGTTTCATTTTTCAAAAGAAAATTTTAATTTTATTTGTTTGATAGATATTTTGTATGGATATAGATAAGGGGGTAAATGGAAATGTATTATTGTATAGCAGCTGTTCACGCGGATGCATCGCTCACTGAAGTAGGAGAGAGACAGATGTCGAACGCTGCCGAACGCGGAGGCCGATTGTGCCTCTTTGTCGCTCGTTCCGCGCTCTCGCTTGCACTTCAAGCCTTAAATGGAACGCCTCAGAGCGAGGTAACGCCGCATGAGTCATGTTTTTTCGTGCGTGCAGCCGGCTCCATCGAATTATAAGACGTTGTCACGTCAAAAACTTAGGGGGGGGGGCGGTTGCAAAATGCATATTAAAATCATTTGAGAAATAAAAACTAACGTCTTCCTTTGTTTATTACTTTATAATTAGTTGTAATTAGTGTTACTTTTCTTTCTATTTATTTATTAAAAAATGCTAAAGTATTAAATCTAATATGTTACTCTATTATTCGAAAACAAATATGGCTAGCAACCGTCATATTGATTCTTGCGTGATAATGCCTACAATTTTATTAATTTGTTGAAAACTATTGACTTATCCTGTAGTAAAGTTATCAAAGGAAGTGGCTTTATATTTTAATTCAATTTCCAGCAAAGAGTGATATGAATCAATTGCTTTTTGTCTTGATTAAATTCCATAATATGTAGATTCATATCAGCTAAGATAAACTTTACATTACAAATAGATTGATATGGTAATAATTTCCTTTTTATCTCTGTTATCTGTCAAGTTACCTTTTGAAGTACAAGTTCAGGTTTATACATATGAAAATGAGGTAGTAGATTATGAACAAATTTGTGAAAAAATATTATTCTGCAACTGTTCAAGTAGCTTTATTTTATACCTATCTGCTAATTTTGGAAGATTAATGAATTGTACCTGTAAAATAAATCTGGGATTAAAAGTATTTTGATTAATTTTTATTAACCATAATTAGCAGAAATGGTTACAGTTTTCTGTTTCCTAATATCTATTTGTTTAATATTGTTTCTATTGTACAGACCATCATTTTAAAAACAGGGTTGGTAGAGGTAGTTTAGAATATAATGGGCTATGTTTACGCAAATGCAAAACTTTGCCTGTTTACTGATTTCTACATCACTAAAAACATTGACTTAATTGTACAGTCAAGTCAATGTTTTCGAAGTGTATAATATGAATTCAATACTCTTGCGTCCCAGAACATTTAAAAATACCTGTAGCAGTTTTAGAGATAGTTTAGTGTTTCATGGGCTACGACTTTGGTATGTGAAATGACAAAACTCTGCCTGTTGTACATTACGAATGCAATAAGGTTGCGACCCAGGACGTTTAAGAATACCTGTAGAAGTTCTAGTAAGTTATATAAGTTTTTATAATTGACTAGCGTCTGAAATAGTTCTTCTTGATTTGGTAATTTTCAATTTTAATGGTCATGGATATAAAACAATTGAATGAAGGCCTACCGAAGGTGAAAACATTCCTTTTTGGTTTAAAATTGAATTTCACGCTTGTTAAAGTCACTAATGCAAATAATTCTTTTTTGTTTGAAATGGACAGTTATTTAATAAGTGACTTAGAAAATAATTTTTTTTTGCATTTTGCGTAGTTTAAAATAAAGAGTTTACATAATGATATTAAAGCAATTAATAAATTAAGTTGAGCGAATTTCTTTATTAAGTGTCAATGTTTATCGATTCATGCAGCTTGATTTGTGTAATTGTGTGATAAATATTTGTATACTGGGCGTTTCAATTTTTCAAATTTATTTTCAAAATTCTGGCGTTTTTCTAAAATACGACTAGCAGCTGGGCAGTGTATCAAAGGGATGGATAGGGATAGATTAAAAGTTACATTACTATTTATAGTTACTAATTATTAATTAGATAACAGTTGAGTGTGAATACCGCCAATCATATCAAATACACTTTTATGTAACAATCTTTTTAAAGATAACCATTTGATAATAAGTGATAAGCAAAGTTTTGTAATTAAATTACTTAAAACAATTTCAATAAATTAATGTTGATCATACGCAATGGTTTTTAGATTAAATAAAGTTTTCAATTAGAAATCGCGTACTTTGTCATAGTTTAGTTGAAACTAAACAATTGCAAGGATCTAGGCGGGTTTAAATGTCTATATTCGGGTGTATATTTTTTCAAACTCGACGGTGCTGTATATAAATTTCAGAAGGGTGCTATAAAGGCTGAAAGGGCTGGAGCTGTATGAATCAATATGGCACCTGTTCTGTACGAAAATTGTATTGTATCTATCTATAATTGGTTATTGGAGTTTTTGTAATTCCCATGATACGTTATCGCCTTTTATTTCCAGGTACTTCTTAATTAGTAGATGTAAGTAGGTATTTATTGGAACTGTATCTTTTTTTTTTGTATTTAATTATGTTTTACCTTTAATTAAATTGATAATCATATTTAATTTGGAAAAGCAATTTCTCGGCGCATAAAGTAGGTTAATTTAAGGTCATCTGTCGAGGAACTACATACGTTCAACATTTTAATAACGTTTTGACCTTCCTGGACGATACTGTTAAAGGTCGTGAACCTTGTGAATCAACTTGTTGCGTAGATATGTAGCAGAAAATTTAAATAAATAGCGACTGTCAATTTCTGCGGAAAAATTAGATTTTTTTTTATTTCTAACGGGTTAGCAAACAAATTAATGTAAATATTAATTTCCATTATTTCTCTGTTTAGAGAGGATTTTATATTTATGTATGCGTATATCTTACGTAAGATAAAAATTACAAAATAATGAAAATAATATTCATTAACACTAGTACTAGGTACCCATTAATTAATATGGATGATAAGGTACCATTGGTCTTTACGAATTAGTGGGTGGTTCTTGAATAAAT